CATTCTATCACAAGACGGACATCCATGTTGCTATATCTCTAGAACTTTAAACCCCCCTGAAAAAAACTACTCAACGACGGAAAAAGAATTATTGGCAATAGTATGGGCAGTTAAAAGACTACGACAGTATTTACTAGGAAGAAAATTCCTCATTAGGACTGATCATCAAGCTCTTAAATGGTTAAATAATTGTAAAGACCCCTCATCTCGATTAATTAGATGGAGACTCAGACTGGAGGAGTATGAGTATGAAATCGAATATACTAGAGGAAAAGACAATACAGCAGCTGACGCACTGTCACGCGTACACGCAATTATTAAAACGGAAGACTTCAAAGGCACAGTACACATTAGCCATGAACTTAAATTCAACGAATGGGAAAAAAGTGACGAACTACCAAAAAGACTAACGATCAAACCTAACCATAGTTCATTCTTTCAACTCACAAAAGAATATTTAGGGCCTTACGACAAGACTCAATGGTTGATAAAATTGCTTAAAGTAATCCAAGATCATAATAAGATAGGACTTGTAACAGAACTGTTCAAATCTATGGAAAAGAATACAATTAGGCGTATGCTAATGTACCATAATGACCAAGTTAAAGAAATCAGTTTTGCAGACGAATCAATTCGAGAATTTACAAAAGAAGACGTAGAAAAAATTTTAAATGAAAATCACGACTCAATAGGACATCCGGGAATTCAGAAAACTTACGAAAGGATTAAAATAAAATATAAGATTCCTAAATTACTAGAGAGAATAGCCCCTTGGCTACTGAGAGCGCCTTTAGACGCCCGGCGCAGTTTAGCTTTTTGACACAGAGGGCGCCTAGAGGCGCTTGACGCAGTAAGACTTTCTGACACGGAGGGCGCCTAGCACTAAACGTACCAAGCGAGGTCAAATGACCCCTTCCAAAATTTGCTTTAAAATTGTACATTCATTGTTATTCTTTTCGTTCATTTGACTTTTTGTAAATTCTTATGTCATCGGATTGTTCAATTTCTCGCTTTTCGTTTTTTTCGTAGCTAATTTTTTCTAACGAAAAATTTTTTACCTACCTTACGTACCATGAGGGGTCATTTGACCCCATACGAAGTTTAGTATTTTTCAGCAATTTTCTAACTGAAACCTTAGTTTTAAATTCAGATACCCTTCTCAAATGACTTTCATTTATCGGATCCTGACGTGCGTGTCGTAAGTAAGTAAGTAAACAATAAACAGAACAGACTCTCTCTTATCAGGGATTCACAACACTCCCTCCAATGAGTTTTCTGTAGCCAAACGAAATAGAAGTGCAGTCGTATATTGAGAGTCGCAGAGTAAACATCAGTTTTAGTTATATCTTGACAATTTCTGTTACATTCAATTGGACTTACGTTTCACTGCAACCCCCAATATGTCCGCACGGTCAGTGAGAGAGTTGGAAAGAATTCGACAAATAAGTGAAGTGAATTCGGGTGAAGAAGTTTCAATACCAGAAGATGATCAAACTGAAAGTCGAAGTGATTCTGCAGACAATGAGGAAACACAGGATGATGATGTGACTGCCGATGAAACTGGATATTTTATGAATCTCCATAGAGGACAGAGGCGCCGAAGATTTTTATCGGATTCTGAAAGTGATAGTGAACAGAATTTTGATGACACTGTCACTGCTATTGATGGAACTGTTTGGCAGCGAATCTGAGAAGGACTNGTGAACAGAATTTTGAAGACACTGTCACTGCTATTGATGGAACTGTTTGGCAGCGAATCCGAGAAGGACCGGCAATCGGAAGACCATCGCTTACTTTCAGAGAAGTATCAGGACCAACGGCATATGCCAAAAGAAATATTATGTCTGGTAAAGTCTCATCTGCATTTTCGGTGATAATAGATCACACAATTATTGAAAACATAAAGAAATATACAGAAGCAGAAGCTTTACGAGTTTTGGAGACTGCATGGGATCTGCCTATACAAAAATTATATGCATTCATTGGAGTATTATATGCACGTGGGGGGGGGGGCGCCTATCAGGCAAAAACTTTATCCATTTCCCTCCTGTGGAATTCGAAATGGGGACCTCCCTTTTTTTCAAAAGCAATGACTAGAAATCTCAGAAATTTTGAGATTTCTGCGGTTCGACGACAGTGTTTCGTTCGAATCCAACGTTTGAGTGTGGACAAATTTGCTCTCATTTCAGAGGTATGGAAGAAATTCATAGAAAATTGCCAGAGTTGTTATAAGCCAGGCGCGGATCTCAGCATTGATGAGCAACTCTTTCCGACAAAAACTAGGTGCAAATTTACCCAATACATGCCAAACAAACCCGACAAATTTGGTATAAAATTTTGGCTGGCATCTGATGTAAAAACCAAATACGTTGTCAACGGTATGCCTTATTTAGGACGTGAGGAAACCAGACCGACGTCAATACCACTCAGCGAATTTGTTGTAATGAAATTAGTTGAACCTTTCACCAACTGTAGAAGAAATATTACAACCGACAACTTTTTTACGACTGCATCTCTGGGTACAAAATTATTGACGAAAAGGACAACGTTAATGGGAACAATGCGTGCGAACAGGAGGGAATTGCCCGCACTTGCAAAAACAACAAAAGATAATTTGAAACTTCTTTCAACAATGATATACAAATCAAATGACTGTACGCTAACGATTTATAAATCAAAACCACGAAAAAAAGTAGTAATATTGAGTACCAAACATAAAACTGTAAAAATCAAGAACAATAGAAAAAAGACACCCGAAACAATCACGTACTATAATAAAACCAAATTTGGCGTCGATATAGTTGATCAAATGGCGCGAAAGTACAGCGTAAAATCGAAGTGCAATAGATGGCCTGTACAGGTGTTCTTCAATATCTTGGATTTCGCTGGAATCAATTCGTGGATACTTTACCAGGAAACAACAGGATTGAAGCTATCAAGGCAGAGTTTCC